ATGCTTCACCTCCTCCCTTCTGCACCAGCTGTGTTTGTTTTCTGTATGGCGCGTTGGCAATCTTCGAGGAGGATAAATGGGTCTTATCGAGCATGATGATCATATCTGATCTTCCAGACAGGTGACAAAGCCAAGGCTACACAAGCCATGGCTCATCCATGAAGGGCATGATTACACTCCATCAACCGGTCAAATTATCATTTTTTCTAAAAGAAACTCTGGCTATGTGAGTTCTAAAATCTGTATCAAATCAACGGCAGAGCAAAGTTAGCTAAATATGGTATCATCTGCATGCTGCAGTTTGTTGAATTTTCCCGGTACACTGAATGTGGCTGCAAAGAGTCAAGCAGACAGAGTCGACATCCCTCTTCAGCACCTCTACTGCCCAGCGAGAGAAAATGATGAATCTAGTACAGATGAATAGCTGTAACATCTTACCTCAGCTGTCTTTTTGCCAAATGCATGGCACTAAACACATAGTATTGGAGATGTAACAGACGCCAGTCAATAGACTGGCGTACAGCATACAGCTATTGTTTGTTTGCTACGGATCATTCAAATTGGAATAGGAGACTAACGCTAGCTTGTTTATAATAAGTGGACCTAGTCATCCCAAACCCAGGCGGTTTATAGCCAGGCATTCTCGACATGGATGATGCCATCCTGGATTACAAGTGTTGCCAACTTTTTCACAATTAGTGAACAGAAGTGATTGGATTGCAGGGGCCTCAAGTACAGATGCCGTATACCGCTCCGGTAGCTTCGCCGACCTGTCAATCACAGCATCTCCGCCATGAAGCATACTCCTGTTTATGGTTTCAGGATTTATCAAAAGAACATACTTAGATTAGAAAATCAAGAGAGAAGTACATTCATTTTCTTATTGATTTGTGCATGTTTAAGACAATCGGGCTTTATTTAAGAGAACTGGAGGTTGTCGCTTTAGTAACAAAGATTTTGGGGAGGGGGAAAACCTTGAAATGTACAGGACCAATAAATTATCCACATGCTTATCCATCTGTGGTGCCACGCAAAAACTATACAAATATATTTGATAGAGAAAGTGCTGAATACAGCTATTGAAGCATAATATTATACCAGACGTAAGAGAAATAGTAAAGCAGAAACCAGCCTCCCGTGGTGGATAAGCCTTTTATGATGACTATAAGGAACCTGTTTGTTTAAACCATTTTTAAATAGATGGATGGATGGATGAAGCCAATTTACAATTTGCTATAGATGAGTGACGTTATAAGTACAATTTAAGTGCTACAATTTGTTAGTCTTTAGTCGAGGTAGAGTCTGAAGAGGTGTGTCTTTAGTTTGCGGCAGAAGATGTGAAGGCTCTCTGCGGTCCTGGTGTCTTCAGAGAGCTTGTTCCACCATTTTGGCGCAAGGACAGCAAAGAGTCGTGATCTAGTCGAGTGTTTTGCTCTCAGTGAGGGAGGGACGAGTAGTTTTGCAGATGCAGAGCGGAGAGTGCGGGTTGGGATGTAGGGTTTGACCATGTCCTGGATGTAAGATGGACCCGATCCCGATGATCACAGCATGGTAAGTGAGCACCAATGTTTTGAACTGGATGCGGGCAGCCACCGGTAGCCAGTGAAGAGAGCGGAGGAGTGGAGTAGTGTGGGAGAATTTCGGAAGGTTGAAGACCAGTCGAGCAGGGGCCTCAAGTACAGATGCCGTATACCGCTCCGGTAGCTTTGCCGACCTGTCAATCACAGCATCTCCGCCATGAAGCATACTCCTGTTTATGGTTTCAGGATTTATCAAAAGAACATACTTAGATTAGAAAATCAAGAGAGAAGTACATTCATTTTCTTATTGATTTGTGCATGTTTAAGACAATCGGGCTTTATTTAAGAGAACTGGAGGTTGTCGCTTTAGTAACAAAGATTTTGGGGAGGGGGAAAACCTTGAAATGTACAGGACCAATAAATTATCCACATGCTTATCCATCTGTGGTGCCACGCAAAAACTATACAAATATATTTGATAGAGAAAGTGCTGAATACAGCTATTGAAGCATAATATTATACCAGACGTAAGAGAAATAGTAAAGCAGAAACCAGCCTCCCGTGGTGGATAAGCCTTTTATGATGACTATAAGGAACCTGTTTGTTTAAACCATTTTTAAATAGAAGGTTCTCCTTTTGTCAACATTAGGCTAATGTGTTTGCTAACAATGTAGAGGGTCATAGCAACGGCTTTTATGCACATATTCAACTTTAGCGCTAAAAACAAATGTGATTACATTACATTACATGTCATTTAGTGGACGCTTTTATCCAAAGCGACGTACAATAAGTGCATTCAACCATAGGGTACAAACTCAGGAGAACAAGAATCAAGAAAGTGCAATTTCCTCAAATAAGCCAATTCATGACCGAAAGAACTAGGTCACGGGTACAAGCGGCCGAAATGGGTTTCCTCAGGAGAGTGGCTGGCGTCTCCCTTAGGGATAGGGTGAGAAGCTCAGCCATTCGCGAGGAGCTCGGAGTAGAGCCGCTGCTCCTTTGCGTCGAAAGGAGCCAGTTGAGGTGGTTTGGGCATCTGGTGAGGATGCCCCCTGGGCGCCTCCCCAGGGAGGTGTTTCAGGCACGGCCAGCTGGGAAGAGGCCCCGGGGAAGACCCAGGACTAGGTGGAGAGATTATATCTCTGCACTGGCCTGGGAACGCCTTGGGATCCCCCAGTCAGAGCTGGTAGATGTGGCCCGGGAAAGGGAAGTTTGGGGTCCCCTGCTGGAGCTGCTGCCCCCGCGTCCCGACCCCGGATAAGCGGTTGAAGATGGATGGATGGATGAAGCCAATTTACAATTTGCTATAGATGAGTGACGTTACAAGTACAATTTAAGTGCTACAATTTGTTAGTCTTTAGTCGAGGTAGAGTCTGAAGAGGTGTGTCTTTAGTTTGCGGCAGAAGATGTGAAGGCTCTCTGCGGTCCTGGTGTCTTCAGAGAGCTTGTTCCACCATTTCGGCGCAAGGACAGCAAAGAGTCGTGATCTAGTCGAGTGTTTTGCTCTCAGTGAGGGAGGGATGAGTAGTTTTGCAGATGCAGAGCAGAGAGTGCGGGTTGGGATGTAGGGTTTGACCATGTCCTGGATGTAAGATGGACCCGATCCCGATGATCACAGCATGGTAAGTGAGCACCAATGTTTTGAACTGGATGCGGGCAGCCACCGGTAGCCAGTGAAGAGAGCGGAGGAGTGGAGTAGTGTGGGAGAATTTCGGAAGGTTGAAGACCAGTCGAGCTGCTGCATTCTGAATGAGCTGCAGAGGTTGAATGGCGGTGGCAGGGAGACCAGCCAGGAGGGAGTTGCAGTAGTCCAGGCGGGAGATGACAAGAGCCTGAATCAGTACCTGCGCTGCCTTCTGAGTGAGAAGGGGACGTATTCTCCTGATGTTGTAGAGCGTGTATCTACAGGATCGCGTTGTCGCGGTGATGTTGGCAGTCAGGGAGATTTGGCTGTCGAGTGTGACGCCGAGGTTCTTAGCGGTCAAAGTGGGCGTTAGTACGGAGTTTCCAAAGTTGACTGTCAGGTCCTGGGTAAGCGAATCTTTTCCGGGAAAGAGAAGTAGTTCAGTCTTGTCGAGGTTGATTTTCAGATGGTGGACGGACATTCACTGAGAGATGTCAGTTAGACAGGCAGAGATCCGAGCCGCCACCTGGGTGTCCGAGTGAGGGAAGGAGAGAATTAGTTGGGTGTCATAGGCATAGCTGTGGTAAGAGAAGCCATGCGAGCGAATGACAGCGCCAAGAGAGTTGGTGTAAAGCGAGAACAGGAGGGGACCCAGCACGGAACCCTGAGGAACTCCAGTAGTAAGAGGACACGGTTCCGATACAGATCCTCGCCAGGTTGGCCGTCGAGGTAGGACGAGAGAAGGGAGAGAGCAGAGCCTGTGACGCCAAGTTCCTGAAGGGAGGAAATAAGGATCTGGTGGTTGACCGTGTCAAATGCAGCAGAGAGGTCCAGAAGGATGAGGACAGAGGAGAGAGAGGCGGCTCTAGAAGTGTGGAGTTGCTCTGAGACAGCAAGGAGAGCAGTCTCTGTGGAGTGGCCTGTCTTGAAACCTGACTGGTGGGGGTCAAGGAGGTTGTTACAGTGGAGATAAGAGGAGAGTTGATTAAAGATAGCACGTTCAAGGGTTTTGGACAAAAAGGGAAGAAGAGAGACCGGTCTGTAGTTGTTTTCTTCAGAAGGGTTGAGGGTAGGTTTCTTCAGGAGGGGGTTGACTCTTGCCTCCTTCAGAGAATTGGGAAAACAGCCAGGTAACAGAGATTACAAAATGTTAATTCTCATACAGTAAAATAGGCCTTTGGTCTTGAATAATATTCAGTCTCCTAGATCTCAAACACACACACACACACACCTCCACCAAATGTCCTCCAAAGCATTTTGGCGCTGGGTACAGTCACACACGAACCACTCGTGCACACGTTTATGCAGCGTGTACTTAAAATCAACAAGCTTTGAAAACCCAAAGATGACCTGCCTCACTATCTCAGGTCACAGAGGAAACAGTCTGATGAGGACCTTCTCTAATCCCCGACAGAAACTTCCGTTACAGCATCCTGCTTCCAGCCATTTGACGGTAATGACGTTGTTCTCGCAGAGAACGTTTCCGTTGATTAACGTCTTAATTTGCTTATGCCGCTGCAAGATTGTGTTGTGGAGTTGTGGAGCATTTGCTTCAGCTCGACATATAAAGGGTGTGTTTGACACCGCTGTCTGCCTCAACTAAATAGACCTACTATAGATTCGGCAGTGTACAATGTAGCTCAATCTGTGTGCGTGTTTTGGACTGTTTGCTTTAACGTAGGATATTTTTGGCCCGATCCAGTCAGAGTTTGATTCAGCTTGAAATGAAAATCAAGCTTCCAAGCGTGTTTTTTTTTTTTTTTTTTAATGTTGGTTTACGGTTAGTGTTTGGAATAATTTGTGTGGCAGTCCACTAATTCTGGCTTGTATAACTCCCTTTTCTGTTTTGTTTTAAGTGCACAGGGTTGCATCTGAGTTGCTTGGTCAATTGTCTCCGCCCCCAAAAGATCCCACAAAAAGTAAGTTGTGAATTACACTTTTAGTCCAGATGTTGATTGAGTTAAGCCATCTGTGACCCCTTACTGCTCTGCCCAGACATTACACATTTTATCCAATTTATAAGAATATTAATTTTTTTATTTTTGAAGCATGTTTTGTAAATTTCTGGAGATTTTGTTTATTTCTGCAGAGAAATTGTCACGGCTAGCTCAACTAGCCTTCCCCTTTAATGTGAGGTCCCAAAATGCAGTCACTGTAGGCAGAGGTGGAAGTGACAATGTTTATTGAGTAGAAGTGGTGTTGTAGATCTTTGATGGGGGGAAGGAGGAACCTCAGGAAAGGTGATGTGCTAAATACAGGACAAGACGGTTAGAAGGGTTGAGAGGAATGATAAATCCAATGGTGATGTCGGTAGTCCTTACTGCGTTAGATGAGAATCCAGATTAGAGAGGAGGGTGCTGGCTGAATGCTGAGGCTTTGAGTTCCCGGTGGGGCGAGCAGGCATGCAGTGAAGTGGAAGGCAGTGATGGATCCAACGGTGTAGCAGATTCCAGCAACGGAAGCAAGACTGGAGGAGACAAAGGCAAAATGTCACACTAAAGGCTGGCGCATGCTTCTGCGTATTTACGCACCGTTGTGTCGACGCACTTGTTTTAATTCATGGTTCTAAAAGGCGTGCGTGTGTTGCCGAGCAATTCACTGCCAGGGTAACGTTTTTTGTTGAAGACGACCTAGAGTCACGTCTTTGTGTGTATTTATTTATCATAGACTTTGTTTCCCCTTGCATCGCTACTGTTGCTTTTCATCGCGGACACATTTGTCCATTATTTTCCTCCACAACTTTGTGCACCCCTCGACCGGCAAACCGACGTTTGTGGCGATCTCCCTCCATGAATCAGAGGCCACCCGCGTGTCCTTATAGTCCGCCAATGACGGGTTGTAGAAGGTCATATTTACGCATTTCTTCCGACACAAGCTCTTCAATTTGATCTGTTCTCTCGTAAACATTCTTTGTTTAAATAATGGTGGTATTGTACTATGAAACCGGAAATGTGAGACTCCGTAAAGGATGTAGTTGCGTCACTTTCGATGCAAGCCTAGAAAAATGGGTCGACGCACGCAAGGAGGTGTGGCAAGGGACACGCAAGGGGCTCTTGCGTCTGCGTTTCCTTCCGTCGCTCTGAGAACGCAGAAGCATAAACTACAATAGCCTGGATGTAGGCTTAAGAAAGCGGATTCTCTCTGAAGAGATACGTGTGAGACTGGAGCTCCTGCAGATCCTTAAAAAGGGTATTCTGACAATGGTAGATGAAGAACAGGTGTGTTAGCAGGAGTGATCCAGCCTCCGCCCCAGACTCCCAGGAAACCTGCCCCGTCCTCACCTAAGACTCAGAAACCAAACAGCCAAGCATGATCGTGACAGAAATAAAGAAACAAATCCCCAAAGAAACTAATGTTAGTCAAGTTGATCAACGTCTTTCTGAATTGTCAAGCCTCCCCAAACTAAAACCCAAATCTGCAGGATTTCTCCTTCTGCTTGTACTTTTTATTTGTAGTGTTTCCATTTTTCCATCTATAGCATTAGTAGAACTAGGGCAGCGATTCCCAAAGTGTGGGACGCAGCCCACCAGTGGGCCCACACTGGTACTGCAGGTACAGCAGGTGGGCCGCGAGAGGTCATTTACAATAAATAAATAAAATGTTTTAAATTTTGAAAAGTTTGAAATTAATATCAAAATATTTATTATGCGGCACATTAGTTATGTGAAACATTAATTGATGAAGCACAAACAATTTAAACAAACAGATTAATAAAACAATAAGCCTCTCGCTCGAAACGGCTGCTCTTGTCCGCCTGTCTTTATTCAACAAAAGGCGCCGCCAAACAAAACAATGTCAAATGTGGCGCCTCTTGTAGTATTAAAGTAAATATACCGCAGTTTCCGCACTCCAAGGCGCACTTAAAAGCCTTTAATTTTCTCAAACGACAGTACTCTCCTCGCTGCCGAGATAACAGAAGATTTAAGGCGTGGATGGCAAGGGGGGCGGCGGGAGCGGACGCACCTCGCAGCATCGATCGGACCCTGAAAGCACAGTCTCCACCCGCCCCAACGTAAAACATTTGACTGCAGTATCTTATGCGCATTATAATCCGATGCGCGCTATATATGAAAAATTTTCTAAAATAGGTCATTCATTGAAGGTGTGCCTTATTGTGCGGAAAACACGGCACATGAGCTCCGAAGAAAATGGTATACAAAACATACATTGTCAGTTAATACATTTGGTTAAATTCTTAAGGTAATTTAATCATCCCTAGTTTATGTTTTGATCAGAGTTGTGATTAAAGGTTTGGTTGGGCCGCAAAAGATTTTCAGATATCAAAGTGGGCCGCGGCATTCTTGAGTTTGGGAACCGCTGTACTAGGGTATAAGTATCAACTCAATCTTTTTACTTACGTAGAACCAGTAATTTTTATGTAAAAGTATAAAAGTACTGGTTTCACAACTACTTAAAGTATAAATGTAGATGTAATGTAATGAAAAAAATTCCATTAAGGACTCTTAATGTGGAACCTCGCTCACAGAACATGTCAGATCCGTTATTATTGGAAGGTGCCTTCACATTTAGCGACCGGATGTTGGAAACATATTCAGAGAGGCAACGCTCAAACAACAGAGGGACATATGTATTCACCCGCATTCTATATAACTTAAACAAATAAAAATAAAACCAGTGACGGCTAAATTACATGAGTCGGAGGACGTTCACACGTTGTTCCCATTGATTAGGTAGAATGCAGTGTCTCCCCGAGGTTTACTAGGGGAGGGCGCACCCCTGTTATAATGATGGGAAACACTGGCAGAACTGGCAGCGATCGGTTATCAAAACATTGGCCAAATAACCCATTTTTCAGGCTTTATGAGCAAACACAGAATACAGTGTTCATTTCTAAAGCCTCGCATTAAGACATATATCACTATATTTAAGACGCTGCGCTACTTGCAAGTCGCTATGTTGTGCCAGATTCTCAATAAATTGAAAAAATACTCTGATCTGCAGGTGCGTCGTAGAGAACACCAATAGGGTGTCTAAATGGTATATGTTTATACTTCTCATCCAACCACAATCAAATTCACTATCTGGATGGCGAGATTTATCTGGATAGTTTTTTTTTGTGTGTGTGTTTTTGAACGATGACAACCCGGAATGAAAACAAGCCAAAATAAAATAGGAGTAAAATGTAAGGAGTAGAAAGTACAGATATTTGCGTGAAAATGTAAGGAGTCGAAATAAAAAGTTGTCTGAAAAATAAATATTCCAGTAAAGTATAGATACCCACAATTCCTACTTAAGTAAGGTAACATACAAAGTAACATACAGAAGTATTTGTACTTCTGACACCTCTGGTCAACAACTTGTCAATCACAACTAAGCCCTGCCCTAAGTTTATTTGTCTCTAAATGGACCACAATTTACTCAAGAAGACTTTGGATTGAGACCATAAAGTCATGAACTCAGAAAGTCATTTTATGCAACCGGATGGACATTAGGAAGAAGGCAGCTTTAAGACTCATTGCATTGTCTTCAGAACCAGACGTTGCCGCTTTTGAACATTCAAGAAGAACATTCAAATTTAAAGGATTTCATTTGCAGTGTGTACATTGAGCTTATGTTCTGTTTATATACATGTGTGATTAGCGAGACCGGCATTTACTTCTGTTAAACTGTGGAATCTCTTACGATTCTTCAGTTCCTCTGTCTTTCTTACTTCTCTGTTCATCGTGTTTCCAGCAGCATTTTGTGAGACGGCAGTTCAGTGCTCGTAGGATTGTTGTCCCCCCTCTGGTTTACAATGATCTGTGACTGTAAGTTTAGCCCTTTTGTCTACATTGAAGTACAGCAAACAGTGATTGTTTCCCCACCCTTCTGCCTGACCCTTCCTTCTCTCAAGTCTCCTATCACTCTCTGTTCCTTTGGTTTTATCTCGGTAGGTTATCGCTTGTCAGCGTTTCCCCTACCATTATGTTGGGAGGCCGCCCCAGCCCTCGAAGGTCTGAAGGGTTTTATTTTCTCTATAGAGCCAGATCACGAGAGAAGTCATTTAAGGTTACCTTTTGTACAGAACAGGTCTATACTTTGTTCTTTTATCAAAAAAAGAAATATCTTATGTTATTTATAGGGCTGTCAATAGATTTTTTAAAATTAACTAATTTATTGCACATTTTGAAATTCATTAATCTCCATTAATGGCGATTAATGAAGGTTGTTGTTACAATGTTGTTTTTAAATGAATGTTTTTTGTAGTAATGAGTAATCACTTTTAAAAATGTGTATTTTGTAAATTGTTGTTTAATTGTTAATTTTATTTTAAACACAAAACTACACACATTTGGTCATCTTGGAGGCAGAATTCCACCGGGTAGAACATGTTGAACTAGCAACTCTTCCAGCTAACTTAGCCTAGCAGCTAGCTTAGCATAGCGGTGCTTTGAGTGGTCCGTTTGCCACTCACCCCCCTTCTGTTTGACTCACGTGGAGGAATTCTTCTGCACACCTCTCCGTTATATGTCGTGCCTGTTTGTTTTACTTACTATGCAAAAAGCTCTCTCCATCTTGAGCTACGTGTTACTCTCTCACTAGCGGCTGTTTCGTTTCCGCGGTCAACTTACTTCCGAAAGTAAAGATTCGTTAACTACGCTAAAATATTTTGTTTTAGCATTATTCTCAGCCACATTAATTGCATAGATTAATGCGTTTATGTTGATTATGTAGTTATTTATATTATTTACACAACAACTTGTCATTTCTGTCTCTACATGGTCACGCATTTATAACGCTCCATTGCTCTCTTTATCGCACGTGTACGCACACACAGGTGAGCTCACTTCCACCAGTGGACAGAGAGTCCGAGTCAACCCAGTAACCCCAATTTGTTGTTTGGTCAGTCAGTCAACCAGTCAGTCGGCAGCAGTAACAGGGAGAACATAGAGTTCCCAGCAGTGACTCATCGCTCTAG